TATCAGAAACAAAGAACTTTTCAATGGAACGAGATAATCGGAAAATTCCTACGGGAACTTGCAGGTGAATGTTTGTGAAGCAAGTGGAAAATATAGAGAAAAGGGGATGAGGAACTTTTTGACCTGGAAAATAAATGAATGGTTCGACAGTTTTGCTGAAATTTCGTGTTTTCCACTCTAGACGTAAAAATAGTTGTGACTCTAGCTTGACAGACGTCATGTTTTGTAGATTTCTACCTGTGAGATAGAAATATATTAAATTGATTTAAAATTTAGTCGGTTAATTGATCGATTGTTCTTGAGAAAAATGAAACTCGATAACCCATTTTTGTCCGGGCCAAAAAATGTCTTGACATTCACTCAGAAGTTCTACTTGGAGTTCATGTATGCCTTAAACTTCTCGAAACATTTTATAAAATATTTATTCCTTTTAATTCAAGTTTAAAAACGTTTGGGAAGCCCGTAATTTACTCGTCAGGTTGAGAAGAAACATTACAAACTTTTTACCAGTCGTATCGTATTTCTCATTCGTTACGTTTCCTTCGCTCCAACTCGAGGAGTTCGCGATTATGCCCCGAGACATTCCCAGCAGCCATTATGCTTCCGCGGTGGAAATATATATTCGCGCACGTAAGGGCAGTCATTAATTCGTGGGAGAAGAAATTTGCGTGCGAATTAAGCGCTCCTTGTCACGGAGAACAAATCACAGAAACCAAGGGAACTGAATTAAGTGTCGTACGAAGCGAGAGGGTCATTTCATTCCGCGAATCGATACCGTATAACTGTTTCTCATGGTGGAACACACGTGCACCGTGTATCAGTCCTCGATAATATTTATTAAAACGAGATTGAACTAAATGACAATTCACGGTCGGAATATTTCATTCGTCTGCTCGCGTTTCGTAATAATCAATTCGATATAATCTTACATTGCACCAACAACAACGAACGAAAAAGACAAAACAACGCGATATATCCTAAACTTAATTAACATAATTAATTACGTCCGAATCAGCCAGTACGGGATACACGTATTATTAATACAATATAATTCTCGGCGCTAACGCCGCGCGACGAAACCAGCGAAAACGCGATGTTAATTTAGTTTCTACATAATTAATGTCGTATTAATCGAGTAAAGACTGGGCGCTGCGTCACAAACAGCGCTCCGTTCCAATTAATTTTACGCGAACGTGTACCTACGTTTCGTACATTACCCCGCGTTTCCCCAATTCGGCTGGAAATCGCTCGATGTATTCGTAAGTACTCGAAATGCTCGTCCACGATCGCTGAAACCTACTTTGTCCCCCTCCTCTATCGGTTCCTATATTCGCTATCGAACGATGTGTTCTCCCAGCAGTTCTTTTCATCCCAAGCCGTATGACTACAGTTTCAATTTCGCTCGAAATCACCCTCTATTTCCACCGAATAGCTGTATTCGAAGCAGACGAGCGCGTACATGTACGTCGCAACGGAATCGCGTCGTCTAACGCAATTTACCGTCTAGTCTACGGAACAATCGTCGATCGGTACGAGCCTCTGTCACTGTTTCTCTTGCGTTTGTGTCCAGTCGACGGTCAGAAAGCGTGTCTGCGCGGAACGGAGGTATAGGTAACGCGTGATTGTGTGTCGGTGCTTTATTTAGGTCGAGTGTCAACAACGAAGCGTACAAGTATGCTTTGTGGACTCTTCAGCAAATGGCACCGGTAAGTACAAAAGCGCTTACAGCGCGCGACCCGCGAAACGGGAGATCAGCGATACAGGACCGACGATAGATCGATCGACGAGAGCCAGAGGAACTCTGCGATCGACAGTCCACCGACTCGTCCGACTCCTTCGATGAAATTAATCGGGGAATGGATGATCAGCGCCTCCTCCTTTTCCCTTGAACCGTCACCAGATGCTTCGGATTAAAAAGGTTGCATTAAAATCGATTTATCACGTTTTCCACGAAATTCGAGAAAAATTGACCAGGATCGAATAATTCCTTCTTAGCGATTGTACGAATTCCTTCTTGGTAATCAAATACAGACACTTCATTTCTGTAAAGAGTTTAATTTCGAAAAAGAAACTTTGCGATCTTCTTTTGCAATAATTCGTGACTCAAAAAGCTATATCTTATATAGCCTTTATATATATAGCTCTATAATTTATCCCTTGAGTAATTGCAATCAATGTGAGCTACGAGACATCTCGTAGTTGGCAGTAAATGGGTTAAACAAAACGAATGAGCTCTACTTTGTCGCGCTCGTTGGTGTTAGTTTACTTTCTAAAGGCCACGCTTTTCAACCCTGAAATTCGACTAACCTTGCATTTCCATAACCGGCATCGTATGCATTTAAATGCGCAGTAATCCATTTATTTCCTCATGCAAATAAGCATAACGTTGCTTGACATTATTTCGTTTACCGCGTCCGTCGCAATTGGTATAATTTAATACACACGAGAAGTTTTATTAGCATACGCTCCCGTATGCTAACGTTGCACAGAAACGTCATTTCGAATACATTGAAAATTTATATGGTAAGTCAGAACCACTCCCACAATCCCATGTAATCATGGCTGCCCTCGAAAGGAACGGGTCCATATTTCGCTCGTGCCAATATTGGCCGCCGCGTCGCTGTATTATAGCAGATTATTCAATGTCACGGAGAGATTAATGTCCCATCTAGATTCGTGTCAATAAAGCACAAACAAAGGATATTTGTGTTGGCCGAAACTATTCTAGAACTGCCATATAATAATTCTTCTGTTTCTCAACACTCGTTTACTCGCTATATTCTCCAAACAAATAAACTTAATTCTTACTGAATTGTTTCGTTCAAATAAAATTTACCCTTCGTTTGAGCCGACTTCGAAAAGGAGGAGGTTACTCAATTCGACATGTATATTTTTTTTAAATTAACCCTACTATCCTTTTTAATTCTGTGCTTCCTACTTTTAATGTATATTCAACTTTTGCTCCGGAAGAATGAGTTTACTTGGTCCCATCCTTTTTCTAGTTACCATATCACTTCACATCCATATCAGTTCCTCCAAAAATCCTTTGGTATCGAAAGTTCTTTATATCGATAAGTTCTTGGACGACTACGCTCCGAAACTAGTTGAAGAAGGGATCAGAGAAACCCGAACGTCCCGCGTTTCTGCGTACAGTTCACCCCGCTAAAAGCACTCGGGGCCACTAATTAGAATTTGAAGGGGATGGTACACCTTTCGGTACGAGGCTGGAACCGTATTGGAGAGCCAATACGTGATTTCAGTCCGGACAGCCGGCGTCGTCCGGCCAGTTCGGCTTTCATCTGCGGTTAACCCACGTTAAAGCGTTTCGCGTATATTCCTGATATCGATCGACTCATAGGCGCCGTTGCACAGCTCCGGGTATAACCCCGATGTGCGATCCCGTCGAGAAAAAGCCGGCAGAAATTTACGAGAGGAAAGAATCTGTAACCAAAGTGTAGAAAAAAGTGTAAGGGAGGCAAGAGGAAGATGCAATCCCAGAATGAATGATGAGACGATAGAGAAGACAAGAAAAATGTATATTCTCGATTATCCGATTATGCACGTATGGATATAATTAATGCTGCCCAAAGAGATCGTTCAGATCACGAAATGATTGAGCCTACGATCCATTCTTTCTCAGAGTAGAAGAATTCCTGAATCTTTGCTTAAACAAAAATAAAACAAACTATAAAAGAGAACGTTCTATAATTATGCATCGATCCAATATGTACGGAGAACGGAATGAAATGAAACAGAGGAAAAGTATTGAAAAGCGAATTGACGATACGAGCGACAAAGTGAGGAAAGGAAGGAGGCCGAAAGGTTAGCGACAGGGACATGACTGTCGTTTCTGGTATCATCTGCTGCACAAAACCGTAAAGTACGGTGCCCGGTTATTTCGGTCAATCCTCGAAGAGGAGGCCGTCCGGAAAATATTCACATCGATCTATACCGAGTGACCTCTCTCGCTTCCTATCTTCCTCCGTCGTGCAGGTCACGCCCGCACACGTACACGCACCTCTGTTACACAACCGTGGAGATTCGTTCACCCTGACCGAAACTCTTTTTCCCACCAATCCCCTTTTTTCGTGTCTCCCCGCTCTTTTTCGCTGACTCCCCCTTCGCCCTTCCTCGCTCTTCATCTGTCTCTTTTTCTTTTTGATAGTTCACGACGATAGCGGATACCGTGTAGCTCATATAGAGTGGCTTGCACCTCAAAGTGCTCTTTCGAACAGGTCGCAAGAGCCAGGTCAACCGCATCGCTCCTCGGCACCGCGAAAGGACACAAAACGGATCGACGAACCGAATCGACTATAAATACCGTCCCTCCTCCCCCTCACCCCCCCCCCCTTTGACGTGGCTGGCATTTTTCGGCATGATAAATACAGTCCCGAGCGATTATTCCTCGGCAGGGTGGAGTATTATCGCGGCCAAGGGACGCTCCGAGTTCGTCCGTGACGTTATTCATGCGTGAACCGGTCGAAAGGTTGCATTATCAGCCTGGTATGTGTCGAGAAGCGTTCTTTCCTCGAGATAGATCGACTGTAGCCTTTCTTCGACCCTTTTCTTCCTTCCTGCTATTTTCTCGGATGAAAATTCTCTCCTCTGCTTTCCGATTCGTAACATCCTTGGACCAGGGTGTATTAAAATGAACGGTCAATACATTCGGGGAGTTGGGGGGAGGGGGGGGGGGGAACGAGTATGATTGATTATTTTATTCGTTTATAGACGAACTTTTACGCTAGGTATGGATGAATTAATATATCGTTTTGCTTAGCAAGTAACCGTAACCGTAATTATTACAATTCACGCGAGTATTGGAATTGTTTACGTGCTATACTTAAAATTTAAGTAACTAACAATTGATCGCTTAGCTATTACTTGAGCAAACTCTGATAATTTGAATCCAACTGAAATTACGTTGAATATTTATTTAATTATCCCTTAACAATCGTTTTAAAAGAAAGCGATTGACAGTTGTGTGAAACTTTGTTTTGCAGAACCAACAACCGAAATCCTGGGTGCGCCAGATCTGTACATCAACCGAGGCAGCACCATCAACCTGACGTGCGTGGTCCTAGAGAGTCCAGAGCCACCAGCTTACATATTTTGGAATCACAACGATGCTGTGAGTACCCGTTTCTTCTACTAAAAATTCCGACGCCAGACGTTCTTTTTACGCGACGACAGAAAAACCTTTAACGATACGTAAGGCGAGCATAACACGGAAACGAGTGGAAGTACGACGATGTCGCGAGTTCGTAATTTATAATTGAGACAGCGTGTGCCAGAGTCGACCTCGTCCGATGATAATTGATGATGATTGTAGCTATGAACGCGCGAAGCTGGTACATTTCCAGTATCCGTTTTAATGAAATTTCTTCGAAATCTTCGACGCCTTCCCGTATCAATTTCTCACCTGGAGTTATTCCGTTTCTTCGAAGTTTCTTGTTCTCCCCGACGCTCCTTGTTTGATCGAAAACCCGTCACGAACTTTTATTAATTCTTTAAAATATGTGCAGAAATATGGCTACTATCGTAGACAACATAGACGTATTATTTCAATTGAGACAAGTATTTATTTTAATTACTTGTTGCGTGGAAAATTAACGAGTACAAGTTATTAAAAGTAATACAATTTCTTCTGATAAATCAAACAGTTTTATTCTTTGTTATAACTCAGTAGCTACAAAAAGATGGAGTTTCAATAAACACGATTGAGAAGATCTTGGAGAATATGACCTCGATAAAAATGTACCTTTTGAGAAACATTATTGTACCCTCGGAAACGGTTAGAATGATCAAGATAGAAAGGGACATTCCGCGGAAAGCCACAAATTCAAACTAATTCGGAATTGTTGCGCATCGTGGCTCCGCGTTTACTCGCATGACGCATTACCTCCAGTGAAGAAAGTATCGGATGTTATCCGAAAGCGCAATTACCATGAATCACACCCCATACCCGTAAACATTGATCACAATTAATGTTTCGCCAAGCCGCACGCTTTCAGCCCTTTCCAAGGAGACTCCCTTCTCCAACTATCCAAGTGCGCGTGGGCATAAAGGAAGTCCATAAAACACCGCGGTCGAGTGTTTCGCGAACGAAAGACCGATAAATTTTGATAACGTTGACGTTAGGAACTGGTAAATTGTCAACGGTGCCGCAGCTGATAATGGCGCATGGGAGACGCCATTAGGCGCATTAAGTCTGACCAGGTGCCTTGGGGATTCCCCACCACGAACAGAACAGGTCCGCCGAGCTTTAAGATGAATTCCACGGCACGTGACTAACGGGTGGAGGCCAAACACTCTGGAACTGTTAATGAGACAACCGGGACCAAAGTAATTTGCAAAACGATTGCGCGGTTGAACATTAATTTAAGCGGCGCACGTTCGCGTTTATAGAAATTTATACGAATCTTAGAGACATTAATGTATACCATTTGTACGCACACGTACGTACGTGGCAAGTTACTTTCTACGGAGTCCTTCGCTTGAATTTAACCATAAATTCGGAAACGGGATATTTAATCGAGATTGAAGATTCTTGCAAACGGAATTCGTCGCTTGCGAGTTGGTCACTTTCTTTTTGGAATTCTGAAAGCTTATTTTTGTAGGAGACAGAAATTCGAGTACCAGCATGCACTCGAATTGGTAAAACGTTCGGGAAAAAGTAGTCTACGTGTCCACGAGTGAAACGATAAGAGCTCGAATTGTCCCGCGGGAACCAGTCGAGCCAGAATTGCAATCCTTCGATCATAAGGATGAATCGATCGATCCACCCCCGCGAAACATTTTCCATCCGTGAGGAATCCTTGGTGTTCGGCGGGGTTTCCCCTTACGCTCCAATAAACCTCGTCCCTTTGATTCCAATGGAATTTCGAGGCAGAGTCTCTTTGTTCCTCCAGCGTGCAGTCGGAAGCGTGTGTTTCTCGTCCAGGTGTACCTGCAAATTCGTCCCGATACGCTCCGTGCAATGCACACACAGGTGGGGTGCATATGTGCACCCAAGTCCGCTCGTGCATTTCTGTGTACCCGTTCGTAAATAGAAAAGTAAATGTTAAATTGACTTAACAATTTGTTGGGGTTGCTTTTTCACTCGACTACGACGACGAGGAGTGTCGCTTACCCTTCGTGGCACTGGTTGGTGCTTCTTTTCTTTTTTTGTTTGAGAGAGACGTCCACGAGTATCTTGGCCACTCAATTTTTATTCGTTAACCTGTTCAAGTCTTATCTAGTTTTTAATGTAAATGAACTTAATACTTAGCAAAATAATTCTGAAATGGTTTATAAGTACTTAATAAGGAAATAGATACATCTGCAAGTGAACCTTCTCTAAAAATATTAGAAAATGAATTTTCTTTTTCTAGTTAATCTTGTCGCTAATTATTCACCTCTGATTTTATATTCTCAAATTTTGTACCCGTCCGATTTGTCACTGGTGTACCAATTGATCCGAATTCGATTAGCTCGATCGGTTTACCTGAACGAAATCCCATTAAGGAATTGTTAAACGAGATACAATATCGCGTCTTATTTATGTGGCGATCGTGGACGATTGCCAAAAGGGCAAGGCGAAGACGTTGCCAAATCGGTTTCCACGGTATTACGACGACAGAAATAAAAGCGCATTTCCCGGATTTGTAACTCTCATTTGTTCAGGATAACTGGTACAGTGAACCAATCCTGGTCAATAAGATTTAACCCTTTGTATTCGAAATTTGTCTTCCACCGGTCAGGAATTCTTCTGAAACTCTTCGAGATTCGATAACTGGTTAACCCCTTTGTGCCCACGCTAGAATGTAATCGTTTTGTGTATTAAATTTCGTGTATTAAAAATGTTCGTCAATCATGATTAACAACTATACAAATTACATGAATCTGATTTAGGTATATTGAAAACGATATCTTGATTTCCACGACGTTGTTAAATCACAGATCTCTAAGATAATTCGCAGCGTTAAAATAAGTGGAAATAGTGTGAAATTGTGTTACACGTAAGGGTGTGTTTCAAGGGTGAAATTACATGCGAAACCATTTCAATGAATTCAAACCGATCACGTCGACCGCGCGAGTAAACGTTCTGCAGAGCAATGCAAAGTTTCCAGTTGTTGTAATCGATTGTTGTTAATCACTTAAGTTCCGTTGCACCGCCGCAGCGAGCTCGGGGAACTTAAATTACTGCATCGAAACTTCGGCTCGCTTTGATTCGGATTCGACGTAACTTTTATCTGCAAATTCCGCACGTCGGCGTACAAACTTGTTGATCCCTTTAATGTAACCTCGACTCACGTCATTAGTGCACCTTGTACCTGTTTGTGCATTATATGCGAATCGAGTAAACGAGTATCCTGATCGTGTTCCTATCGATCACGGTTCAAAATAAGTATTCATCGAACATACTAATCGTGAGAAATTTTTCTATATCGTTATATCTGTTAGCTGGAATAACTAAAATTTAAGTGTACAAGCGCTTTTCATTTAGTCGCGTCACAGGCAGACCCTCGCGTGCCTTGAATGCTTCTGTTTCCTTGAAAACAATCGTGGCCAATCTAAATTTGTTCCGCGCAAGCACCACCCTAATATTGACATAAGAAAGGGGTATTTGTCCAGTCTCGATGTGTTTGCCATCAAACTTCTGTCTATTCCAAGTAAAAGGATCATTGTGTGCCGCGTACGATACTGGACAGCACTCTGTATTTACAACTGTTTACCAGTCGGATACAATTTCAAGCTTGAGTATTCGCGAAAAAGCTCGATTCTGGTCGCCTAAAGGGGTAGGTCGAAAGCTCGCGTTACCCTTCGCGTGTGATTTTGTGCTCAAGCGAGCCATTTGCCGGCATCGAGCGTGAAAAATAAAGGTGAACACACTTTGTAGCCTTTGTTCTCGCCGATGATGTAACGGCGACTTCAATTTTCCACAAGTGAAACCTTCCAAAGGGAACGCGTTCGTCTGACCGTTGCGAAATTCGGTCGGTGGTTAAATAAAAAGAGGCCTCGAAGTAGACAAAGCTTAAAAATACGCGTACAATGTTGCCTCAAAATAGAGGAATTATTTATTTGATAGAAAACAGTGGTCACGATTTAAAATAAAAATGTTTGTAGATACGAAAACTTTATTGAGCGTGAGTGGAACGCAGTATTTTCTTTCTTTAATAATAAAATTATAATATGAAGACAAAAAGTACTGTATGTACTCTCACACAATAGATTTTATATACAAAGAAGCTTCTCTATTATTAATTGCACCCACAAGCATTTTTATTTTCATTTTTATTATTATTAAACATACCTTACTGCTTCCAAACTGGTAAAAAAAAAGAATATCGCCTTAATTTTACTATATAGAGAATTAGCAAAAATGTGAAACCTATCAAGATCAATAGCTCGTGTCCATAGAAAACAAAAAGTCCTTTACCGTTTTCCGATTGAACAATTCGTTACAGAGATGTAGGCAATTGAAGTTTACCATGTTGGGACTCTCGACGCGGCCCGCTCGGACCTGGGGTTTGTTTACTTCTGGGTGCGCGCGCGACTCCCGCACGTGACTATGCGCTCGCGCGCACGCGGTCACGAGACTTACAGGGTTCAGCGCTCGCGCCACGGAGTACAGGGTTCAGCGCTCACGCTCTCCACGTGGTCCATGCGTTCGAGCTCGTAGAAACTTTAACTGCGAATACCTCCGTAACGAAGAGGTGGATCGAAAAACAGTAAAGGACTTTTGGATTCGTATTGACACTAAGTATACATCTGCAAGAAGTATCCTACGATTTTACTAACAATTGATCCATTTCCATAACAAAACTTCGGATTGAAAAATGAAAAAGGACTTTTACTATGTATATACTATCATTCTATATATAGTAAAACTATATCTTTATATAAAAAATCCATTGTGTGCGGGTAAAACGCATCATCATTGACGAACCACTGGATCTATAGAGTTTGCAATCAATTAGAATGTGTTTTCGAGGAAATTTTTATGTAATAAAATTATTTCTTGTTCCTTAATATTCAAATTGGTACCGAGCTACGTTTTATCCATATAAACGACTGCCTGGAAACACTAGATTTAATTGACAACTGTCTATCAATAACCGTAGGAACAGTTCCAGAAATAAATTCACG